TCTCCCTTGGAGTTGGCTGCGGATGCCTTTTGGGATTCGAGCATTCCTTCGACGCGGTCGAGGGACTCGAAGAGGGCTTTGACGGCGGTCTCGTAGGCACCTTGAGAGGTGGCAAAGCCAGACCTATACACACCATCTACAAGAAGCAGGATCATTAGTTATCTATTTTTGGAGCATAGGATGGGAGCTTACTATTGATGGTGGGATAGATCCACTCATGGGAGGCATCAATCTCGCTTCGGAGTTGCTCAGGGTAAAAGTCGAGGGCAGCCTTGTCCGCAGGAATGAGTTCATTGAATGCCGTGTTGAGGATACGGATGATCTCTGAAGATTCATTGTTCACGATCTGAGAAGCCTTTTTATCAAACAAGACTGGCACAGTGAACCTGCAAATTCGAGTCAGTGTTCATTCGGGAATCTTAAGAACGATAGACATACCTTCCGGAATAGTCGGGTTGTACCTTCAAGTAAAGGTCCTTAATGTGCTCAGCTCCGGCGACTGGGTCGGGTCCGGCACCAGGGTAGGGATCCACATTGGCGAATGGCCAACCATGTTCGCCCATACGAGGAGACACGACGGTCACATCAATGAAATCCTCAAGACCCTTGAGCTTTCTCATGATGAGCGTTCGGTGAGCCCATGGGCACGCATACGATACGTAGAGATGGTAGCGGCCTGCAAGTCACGTATAAGTATACTGGACAAGAATGATAGAGAACAATGTACTCACCCTTTTCCGGTTCGTGTTTTCCTCCTTTTTCGATCACATCACGGAAAGTAGAAGGTCTCCGGTTAAAACTACCATCCTGGTCCGTAGTCTTTGAGATGGCAATGTTGGATTGGCTGGAAACGTCGCGAGACATGTTTCTGAGTGTTGTGGTGGTTAAGCTAGAAGTTGGAAAACGAGTTACGCCTTGGTGGGTGTTGTTCGTTTGAGGAATGACGCAGGATCTGACGAATGAAGTAGCGCTGATCGATAGAAGGGAGCTCGAGTATCTTTTTTGACGGCCAACTAGAATCTCAGTCGCAGAAACTGGACTAGCAACACGGGAT